CCCAAAACATGAGCCAGCAAGCCACTGGCAGCCAGCCCTCCACTGCTCCCCAGAAGCAGTCTGCCAGCTCCCAGGAGCCTGCCAGGGCCCAGAGAAGGTGGGCGCCTTCCTGGTCCAGGGTGGAGCTCAGGGACCTTATTCAGGTTTGGGGGGATGCCCCAATGCCCATGATCTCTGCACTAGATGGAGGAACACGGCCGTCTATGACAGGATAGCTGCCAGCCTTGCCACAAAAGGCCACATGCGAACCCAGGAGCAGGTTTGCATGAAAATCAAGTTGGTCCGGTGAGACCCCCAACCCTGAGCCCTGAGTTTCCCCTCCCGCTTCTTCCCCTTGCTTCCCCCTTCCAGCTCCCTCCTCCCAGGTTTCCCCCTCCTCTCTCCCACCCTCTCTTCTTCCTCTCCCACCTCCTTTCCCCAGTCTCACCAGAGTTACATTCCCTCCTCCCCAGTTTTGTTAAATAAAGAGAGTTTGTGTTCATGAAAATACATGTATTTTATTTGACATCAGGAAGGGGGGTTAAGGAGGGGTAAGTGGAAGGACAAGAGGGAGGAATGAGGCACAAGCCCCCAGTGGGGCAGACCAGGGAGGCTCTTAGGGCTCCTCAGGGTGAAAGCTCTCCTGCAGGGCCTCCTGGATACTGACAGCCCCCCAGTGGACCTCCTGGACGGCAGCCTGAAGAAAGTGCAGCCAGGCTTGCAGCAATGCATCCACGAGAAACACCAGCGTGCCCAGGGGCAGCTCAGGCTCCATGTTGCAGAGTCCTTTGGGGTCCCGAGTGAGGGCAACCAGAGCACACAAAGACAAAATGCTTTGCTGTCCCTCATTGAGGTAGGCAAGCAAGCAAGGAAACCTGAGAACTGGCTGTCGAGAGGGGGGAAAAGGGGTGGTCCCTTTAAGCACAGGCCTCAGATAGCCTCAGGCAGCAGCCACACAAAGTAAATCCAGACCTGATGCCCTACCAGACTTGGTTCCGGCCATCCTTAAATGTGATTCAGAGTCCACTCAGTGTGGACATGCTATTTCAAAATAGCAAAATGCTATTTCGAAATGCATTTTGTGTGTAGACGCGTTATTTCAAAATAAGCTATTTCGAAATAACACTGTAGTGTAGACATAGCCTTAGTGTGGAGTAAAAGTGCCTTTGAGTGGCTTAACTGAATTCACTTACAAAGTTAAAGTGTAATTGTTATTCTCCATTTCCAAAGTGGACTAAGCTAAACCTCACAAAGGCACAGTTAGCGTGGAACAATAGTGTCTACATGGGAAGCTAGGCTGTTTTAAATGTACATGTAATCTAAGTTAAGCTTTCCCATATAGATGAACCTTTAGGTGTTTACATGCTTCCCCTATGACAAACCCTGCACTGGACAAGAAGGGGTTGAAAAGAACAGCTTTAGACTCAGGAGCCCCACCACATCTGTGAAGTGTGCTAATTTTGGAGGAAGAGATTTAAAAAGAGAGAAGCTCAGTTCAAAAAGCCCCTGTCTGAGGAGATGGACAGATCTTTCATTATCTCCCAGACAGGAGAATGACATAGACCCAAGCTACCTTAGGTTGATTATGGACACGGAGCAGTACGATATGGCTGAAATATCTGGGTGGGAGAGTGAAGCTAGAGCCCTTCTTTATTTCTGTTAATTTAGTTTCTTTTGTTACCTTGAGAAGTAAGATGTGGGGCTAGACTCCTGTAGAAAATTAAGAGTCCCCTGGGGAGAAGGTGGATGTAGGAGGTAGTTCAGGAAAGAAGCAGGCAGTCTAACCAGACAGACTTTAATTACTTGCCAGAAGAGTCCCTGGATGGAGTGACAAACTGGGTACCCCTGCAGCTTCACCAGGAAGACTAGTTGCAAAAAGTCATAGGCACAAGGAATCAGAAGGACTGTTAGTCCTGGGACTCTTGGGTGGAAATTCTGATTTACCCTGAAAGGGGCAAGATCAAAAGTGACCTAGCCAGTGGGCCAAGTCAAAAAGCAACGGGAAGCTGTTGTGGACCTGGATGGTGAGACAACAAGGGATGAAATCCTGCAATGCTGCTCCTAGCTATGGAGGCAGCACTTGGTGGTGAGTCACATTGTAGTCACTAGTGAACAGTTCATTGTCTTCAATGGATTCATCCTTGCAACTCCCCTGTGAAATGGAGAACTGGCTGCAGAATGACCCTGTCAGATGCCTGATAGTTGAATGTAAATTACAACTCTCCTGAGGCTCTTCTGTTTCATAGTGGAGGCTGAACCAGCCCCTACTTGGCCCCAGAGCTAAGGATTATAAAGATGTTATAAAAACACCTTTCTCCCCTTAAGTCCTCTATAATATTAGTGCAGTTGAGCCAGGTCCAAGAATCAGAGCCTATGTTTTTGCTGGGCCAAACCCAGAAATATAAAAGTTCAAATTCACTGAAATCACTGTGTATTTGAAAATACCAGTCTTAAAAAAAAAAAACCTAATTGATGCTTCTAATGGGTAACCGCTTTGCTAAAAGGGATGTAGGCAGCAGGAGACTGCTGTTTAGGAAAGAGTAAATAAATTCCCCTACTTGCCAAAATGTTGGTTCAGCATTCAGAAAAATAGTTTTACATTTAAAAATTAAACAATTCCTGTAATACTGCATAATAATTCCTTTCTTCTGACTGTTACAGCAATAGCACAGCAGGCTGAGACTTGATTAGAGTCTATTAAAATGAGCTCCCATATTGCTGGTGCCACAAATGATACCATTTTTTCACAAGATGGCTGCCACCAGCAGCTGTCTCAGATGTACCAATTACAGTGTTTAAAACTTCCAGTGTATTCATG